ATTTTCAATATTTAAAATGACCAAAATATCTCTGTCATTTTTTAGGGGTATTTTGGTCATTATATATTTTTGGCAAATATTTTATATATATATTTTTTATTTGTGTACCTTATTTTTTAGTACACATGTCTAAAATTTCATTATGATCCAATCTATAAAAAATAATTAAAATTAAAACAGTGATATGCATTATAAACCGTATGATGAAGATCTAACGGCTCTCATTCGACCAATAATACTATTCCTTATAGCTCTCTAGCTATTTTTAGTTTTTTTCATATATATATATATATATATATATATATATTTGTTTCTATTATATGGAAACCCATCGACAAATTTGGCCCCGAATTAATTGGAATCTAGACATGTTTTAATTATTTTAAAACTTCCCTATCTTTTTATGACATCCACATTTCAAAGCGTCCTGCCTGATGCAAAGTGTGTCACACGCTTTTCACTGAGGTGACACATGTCGTGCCACCAGACACTCTGCATATCATGCCATAGAGACAGTCCAAAGAAATTCAAGGAATCTATCGCCTTGTTTTCCCCCACTTCCTGTGATCTTGGTACATATTAATTCCTTGATTTTGCTTTTGTCAATTCCGAGAAATTAGAAAAAGATAGCAAAAATACATATTTTTTCATCCGTTAGATTTTAATAATTGTAATTTCATGTACCAAAAGGAAATAAGCAATAGTCTGATACGATAGAATCCCTACTTCGATTGCTACCATTGAATTGCTCAAAAAAAAAATTTGCAGGACAGAGGAAAATGAGGACACATAACCCCGACTTTATTTTTTTTAACTTCTACATGAGTCACTATCATGTTCATGATAATGTAGGCATAATAAAAACAAAAATAAAACGAATTCTCTAATAGCTTTCATATGAGAGGCGGCGAGGAGAAAAGGGCGCGAGAGTCAATCTAGGCTATGCACAATTGGATTAGACGTTGGATCTCCATTTCTGTGTAGCATTGACAAGTGATCCATAAGAGGAGCCCCCCTCAGCCAGGGCGGTGGCGGCGGCGGCATCCCTGAGGTCGCGCATCTTGGCCCGGAGGGCCTTCCCCTCCTCCCCTTCCATCAAACCCCTCACCACCCTCTCAATCTCCTCCTCCTTTATTATCCCATCTTCCTGGATCTTAGGCCTAATGGCCACCTTGATCTCATCCACCAAAAGTATGGCATTCATCTTCTGCTCTGCATACAATGGCCAAGCAATTAATGGAATCCCATTCTGAATGCTCTCAAGAGTCGAGTTCCAGCCGCAGTGGGTCAGGAACCCGCCGGTAGCGGCATGGGCCAGCACCCGAGTCTGTGGTGCCCATGAGGGGACCACCATTCCCACCCCCTTGGTCCTTTCAAGGAAGCCTTCAGGCAAGTAGGCTTTGGGGTCTCCTTTGCTCTCTACAGTGAAGAAGGCTGCCGGACCCTCCGTGAGCTCAGGGGTTCGAATCACCCACAGGAATCTCTGGCCGCTTTTTTCCAACCCATGAGCCAAATTTTGATACTGCTCATACGACAGCGTGCCACCGCTCCCGAAGGACACAAACACGACTGAGCCAGGGGGCTGCTCATCAAGCCACCGCAGGCAGTCGCTATCATTTTCGGGCTGCTCCAGAGTCAGAGGGCCTACAGGAAACACCTCAGGAAATGAAGCTCGATTCTCCTTGAGGAATTGCAGGGCCTGCGATTCAAGGGCCTCGAAAGTGTTGACGAAAATGCCGTCTGCTCGTGGGTATCGCTTAGCCTGGTGGAGGAACCAAGCGTAGGCGGCATCTTTCCTGTCTTGAAGGGGGGAGACGAGGTCTTTTCCAGGGAAAGGCGAGGAGCAGCCTGGGAGCCTGAGCTCCCGAAGATCCCGGTACTCTCCTGATACCTTGGTATCGAGAGCAGGGAGCTGACACACCAGGGAGAGAAACGTCGCATTCGAAGGGAAAAATAAGTATTTGGGTAGGCTCAGTTCGTCGGCGACATCAAAGGCATCAGTGCCAAAGATGTCGGCGACCAGGACAGTGTTGGGAAATTTGGAGGTGAGGTCACCAAGGAGGGCACGGAGGGAGGAGAGGGACCGGAACATGGTGAGGGAGATACGGGTCTCGATCTTGGCGGAGCTGGGGAGGTCAGAGAGGTCGGCTGGGGGGAGATCAACAAATTGGACAGAGGAGAGGCCGACGTCGTTGAGGTTCGAGAGGACGGAGGACTGAGCGGCGGACGAATCTGTGGTGAGGTTTATGAAGGTGATCGAGAAGGAGTGCGTAGCAGCGAGGTGCTTGGCGAAGACCACCAAGGGAATCAGGTGGCCCATGCCTGGGCTCGGAAGAATGGCTACATGAGCCCCAGTTTTAGCTTCCATTGTCACCCCCACCACAACAAAGTGCTCAATTAAAACAAAGAGAAAACCCCGCAGAGCAGTCGAGGAATTTGGGGGAAAGCAATAATAGGGAATCGAGCTGAAAAACGATGATAAGGGTGGGACCTTATATAGGGCTTCTTCCTCCTGTGCCTCAGATGTTTACAGAGGATAATATTAGCTATTTGTTATTTAATCTCGGGAGCGACCAAAAAGCCTCTATTTCCAGGAATATCCAAAGTATAAGGACCCTTGGCAATTGAAAACGTGTCACGAATTTTCTGGAATGAAGACTATTTAGTATTAATTGGTGGTATTAGAAAAATATATGTTGCACTTTTTTTATTAGAAAGTTACCATGAAAGCCCGTATAAACAAATTTTTATTTTTTAACAAAATTACTCCTCTTTTTTAGGATGTCATCCTCGGATGACTTTTTCGTTATTTGTCAAAATTTTAGTTGCGGTCCAAAGATGGTATTTTCGGATTTTTTTTTTTTTTGCAAAACATAAATTGCCGTTCGAAGATGGAATCTCGAACATTTTTCTTTTTTTTTCAAAAATTAAGTTGTGGTCTAAGGATTTTAACCTCGGATTACTACTTAAATTTTGAACAAAAAAAGAAAAGCAATCCGAAAATGCCATCATCAGACCCCAATTTCGGTTTGGACAAAAAAAAGCATTCCGAAGATGGCATCCTCAAACAGAGGGGTAATTTTTTTGAAAAAAAATTCATGCTCACGGACTTTGATTATAATTTCGATTATAAAAGGAGCAAATCATATTATTCTAAATTATTTAATGTCCGTACATAAATATCTCTTAAGTATATATCTAATAAAGCAGTGAGCTATAACTCGGGCAAGCCAACTCAGACTCACGATGTATTTTTAAGTTGGGTAGGGGTGGAAATGAACCCGACTATACCCGGGACCAAAAAACCCGACCTTGGGTTTGGATATGAGTCCAAATTTTGAGCACGAATATTATTTGGGTCCGGGTCTTGGTCTAGCGATACCTGACCTTACTTGTAGTCATAGAGTATATAATGGCAATCATATATCTTTAGGCACACACTAGGTATTCATATTGTCACAATATTAACAATATTTATAGTATTATTGACAGAAAGAAAGAGCTCATAGGGTATATGATGGTAAAAAGAGGACAAAACCCAGGACCGGACGAGTTTGGGTACGGGTCCAAATTTTGGACCTGAATACTATTCGGGTCCAGGTCCAGGCAAACCCGACCCATTGCCACCCCTAGAGTTGGATGCTTTGACTTGGGGTTGTTAAAATAATTTTAAAAAATTAAAGAGTTAAAGAATTATTGGTAATACATTTTTATTTTTCTATTGCTTTGGAAAATATTGGAAAGTATATCTATTACAGAGTATTAATAGCTATTTTTACATTTTTCTCTTCTTTTTGTATTATTTTTAAAATACCCCATCACAAATTTATTTTTGTCAAAATCCTTTTTTCACTACTTTCTTAACTTTACTTTAGATGCGTTTCAATGAATTTTATTTTAAACATATTTTTTCTATTTTTATTTTTATTTTTGTGACACTTTTTGCCATGGCCAAATTGATCTAGTAACTCGAACTGAGCTTGATCAGGGGCTGAGTCTCGTCCCCAAGTCATGGTTTTGCTCACTGGAATAGAGCATTTTAAAAAATTGATACAGAACTTACGTATCCATGAACCCTTATTTTTGGGGCAATATCGAGAATTTTGATATGTACTATATACTATTTTTAAAACTTCAAATCCTAATTTTCCACTCTCACATAAGATCGATTCGAAGAATATCCAACACCAGAATCGCCATTTTTGGTGAGTTTTGAGCCTCCCCCTCACCTTAATATAGCTATTAGGGTGCAATGTAAAATCTTGTTGTGAAGGCGTCAAATTTCTATTGATAGGTCAATAATGACTATATTGGGCTTTTGGTGGCTTTTGGTGCTCCATTGCGCTGGAAAGTTTTTTTTGGGTAAGTAGTGTTAGAAAGCTCAGAAGGGCATTTTACTATCTGTGTAAATGTTTATTTTATTTAAGGGTGTGTTTTCTATAAGATTGTAACCTTAAATAATCAATTAAAGCGCACATTTAAATTTTATTATAACAGGTAATTTTGGCGTAATTTCTTTTTAAGATTATCGTAATTTTATATCTAATTATAAAATTTTAAACTAAAAAAATAGTTAAAATCAAGGAGATCTATAAACATGTGAAAATCTTGAAAATGCACGGTCTAGATAATATATTGCAAGATGCACTATTTATGGGGCTTAAATTTTTTTAATTTTTTTTATTCATACATATCGATGATCAATTTTTTCTTTTTTGATAGATTTTTGAGGTGCATCTTTAATTATACATTTTAAGAACCTTATATAAGATCTCTCCTTCATTTAATACTCTGGGCGTTGGAATGGATAAGTGCCTCCCAATTGTCGTGTTTTTTAAATGAAGAGAAGGGCCATTGGTGCCCTGATGGGGACCAGCTTGAAGGCATTCTAGAAATTATCGATGAGAGAACGCCTCAAAGACGACTACACGCAGTACGCAAGGTCTATGTCATAAATGAGAAATAAGAAAACATCTTAAACATATGATTCAAACTATAATTTATAAATTTGAAATGTCAAACTTCAAGCCATCCATTTTGGAATGGCGAGAGAAGCTTCTACGTTATGCCGTCATGTATGTGTTTTAAGAACCACGTTGGGTTGCCAGATTGGTCGGATCTCGATTGCTATCTTGCCGGATTTCAAGTATGGACATCATTTTCAAGTAAATTTAAATATTGTTACAATCCAAATATTTAGAAAGTACAACGAATAAATTAATATAATAAATCCAAATTTTTAGAAGTTGCAACTAATATGATATAGCTGATGATATCCTACTAAATCTCCAATCAATCGCTCGATATTGCCCCTCAAGTCGGTGTCTGAAGAACCATAACACCTGACTTGCCTCTAAGAAATTGAAATTGCTTTCAACTTAATGCTTTGATAAAAATATCTACTACTTGATGCTTAACAGAGATGCAAGAGGATGTAAGAATGCCCGAACAGATTTTTTTCCTAACTGAGATGACAATCTAGTTTTATATGCTTAGTTCGTTCGTGAAACATGGGGTTGGCAACGATGTGAAGAGTAGCCAGGTTGTCTTAGTATAGGCTCACATTAGATGAGTGTGAGATACACCAAGATTGTGAAGTAAGGCTTTAGCCCATCAGTTCACACATGGTTGTAGCCATGAAATGATACACAGCTTCCGTCAACGGTCGTGATACAATGGGTTATTTCTTAGTACAAGCACCGAGTAAGGTAAAATTGCCAGTAGAAGGTGCGGCCTTTGGGATACCGACCTTAGTGATTGGAGTGGCCTTATGGCCACTATTATTTGCATGCAAATATATGTGCACATTTGACCTACGACTGGGTCATTGTTCGTGTGCTCTTTGGGGGATGGCATTTGAGTTGCCCTGAGTTGAGTGAGTAGTATGCAATGTAAATGGAGTGACTTGAGAGTCACTCTTGATAGTGAGTCTAGGTCCCAAGAGACCCAAAGTGTGATAGACTCGGGGTAGCTTTTCGCTTGCCCCAAGAAGAAGAACCAACGGCTAGGCTATTAGTCGTAGTGGGTGTGAAAGTGTGTCGAGTGACCTTATGGTCATTCGACTGAGATAGGCCAGCGATTCAACCTCGGGCTTGGGGTGTGAGATGCGATGCTGAGATGGGCGGCACAGGTGGCAATAGCTGAGTAGAGGTGACCTTCTTGGTACCCACAAAAGCAATGGCTTTTGAAGAGCCTATTGCGAGAAGAGGGGGAGTGGCCTTGGGGTCACTCTTAGATTTGAGACTGATGGAGGAGCAGTCAGTATTTGTGTGAGCATGAAAATTGGTGTGATTAGGTGTCTCGATCTCGCCTCCTGGGATCTAGGTAATCGGGTGACACGTGTCTTGGGTTCGGAAGACTTAGGACCTGAGATCGCTCTCTCAAGAACCTTGTTCATTAATAAGGGAAGGTATCTAACTAGTGAGAGAGGAATTTTGGATGTGAAGTAGGGACCAACCTTACCTTGGTCCGCGACTTACTCGGGCTGATTTGTGCAGGTGCCATCTTAGATCACAACAGAAAGTCCCCCCAGTTGCTTCAGCTGGCTCGAAGTCGCCTCTCTTGACCTGCAATCTCCTTGTTTTATGCAGAACACTACTATGGTTAATTTACAAGACAAGTGGGCTGAACGACCCACTCTTGTCTTAGGGTAATTCACATTTGTGTGGCTAAGAATGTGAGAAGTTAAGGTGATGAAGTGGAAGGTTTTAATGAGAGGAGAAAAGAAGAGGGTACTCGACAAGGGGACGAGGCTAGCATGACAGCTGGACCAATGTAATGATCGACCTGGAGTGGTAGCAAGACAGGCATGGTACTTTTGACTGGCGCACGCGACGGCAATACTACTGGAAACCAAGGTCGACATGACTGTCTTAATCTGGTGTGGCAGCAAGACGGGCATGATACTCAAGATCAACACGACAGCAATATTGCTTGACAACCAGACCGCTATAGCAACATTGGACTGAATCCACCCTCGGTCAAGTGAGAGGAGAATGAAGAGAATGCACGAGACGATGAAGAGATGGGACCCCGATGGCTCTAATCCTCGCCACCCATAACCGTGGAGTAGCAGTGTCACCCTTGGACGGTGCTAGTCACTACTGCTCACGGTGAACTACGGGCGGCGCTAGGCGATCACTGTTGGGCAACACGAGAAGGCAACACACCCGTGCGCAGGCGGTGATAGCCTCTTGTGAAGCGTGCGACGACAACCATTTGTGAGGTGCCCTGCGACAGTTCTTCCAAGGCACACGGCCATAGGCGTGGGACGCAAGAGGAACCTGCGGACGGCGATGGGTACCAAGGGCATGAAAGAGACTCGCGGACGGTGCACCAAGCACGCGAAAGAAAATCTTTGACGGTGATAGGCATCGAGCGCGCGAAGGAAGCTTGCGGACGGCTATAAGCATTGAGCGCGCGAAGGAAGCTCACAGACGGTGATAGGTGTTGCCACGACCTCTCGCAGGCTGCGATAAGCATCAACGTCTGTGATAAGCGCGCAACAGGGGGACACCCCTGTGGCCAGCAATAAGTTTTGTCATCTGTGCTCTGCATTGAGGCGTCAAGGACACATCTGCGGATAACG